TGCAATCAAAGGCGCCACAAGCAATCCTAGTCCCCGAGTTTAGCAGCAGTAGGACAGGTGGCGGCACCCACTCCTTCTACATTGAGGATTACAGACGGTCGTCAGGGCCGTGCTGAGGTGCCAGTGGTGAAGAGTAAAGCCTTCCAGTTGACAGCAGAGGAGGCATGTGCAGCTCCTAATGTTGTTATGGTATGTGTTTTCTCCCTATATCTTTATTTATGTTGATTATTGCTTATGTTTATGTGTTTTGTTATAGGATCATTCCTTGTAAACGGTATATCTGCCCTGGTATTGTTTGATTCAGGGGCTACCCGATCCTTTGTGTCGCTCTCACTCAGCAAGCGATTGGTTGGAGCTCCAGGAGAGCTGGATTGCCCACTTGATGTGGAGATAGCAGCTGACAGGACCGTTAGGGTTGCGAGGGTTCACAGTTGATATACTCTACGGTTATTCGATGAGTAGTTTTAGTAGATTTGGTTCCTATTCCCCTGCGAGGGAATAAGGCCATCGTGTGTATGGATTGGTTGAGCCCCAATGGGGTAGTAATTGACTAAGAGCAACAACTAGTGAGGGTTCGCACTCCTATTGGGGGAGGGCTAGTAATTTAGGGTTTAGGGTTTAGGGTTTAGGTTGAGTGGAAATGGTTTTGGTTGAGTGGAAGGAACCCTCCGCCTGTCAAGGGTTTGTTTTAGACCTGAAAATCATGGGACTTGGCGAGTGTATGAACAGACTCGGCGAGTCCAAGGCGATCTCCCGACCCATGAGGACAGACTCGATGACTTGTTCATACAACTCGGCGAGTCACAGACTAGACAAGCTCATATGAGGAATGTAAGGATGAGATTTTCAAAAGAAAATTTTCATTTTTTTACAACCATATTTTAAATATAAAACATTCTCAAAAAGTGTTTCACAATAGTTACTAATCAAACATGTTCCCAAGATAATAAATCACATCTCCTCTCGGTGTGTATGGTTCTTGCCGGCGCCTTCCCACGGTCCTCGCTAGTACCTGAAACACATAACACAACAACTGTAAGCATAAATGCTTAGTGAGTTCCCCAAAATACCACATACAACACATACGCTACTCGAGGCTACTGTACGAACCTCCGGTCGATGTGTCTCAGCGGGACCCTCCAGTCCTGTAGCTCGTTGGGCCCTCCGGCCCGGTCTGAATCATTGGACCCTCTGGTCGGTTCTGTATCGTTGGACGTTCCAGTCCGGTCTACACAATCATAGAACATACAAATATCACATAGCACATAGATTCACATAATCTCATACATAACATATAAGACCCTCCGATCTAGATAAATACCACTCTAGGTAACGTATAGTGAGAAGACTCACCTTGCGTAGCTTGGTGACTCGCAAATCTCGGAAATATCGAACTTCGTGGGATAAGATCTAGCCTCCGCCTAATCATATGAAATAAACACTCGGCATCAACACATTTTCCCAAGGCTAGACCATCCCTTCTCTTAATACAATCATGAGGGTAAAAGACCATTTTACCCCTCACATGGCTCAAATACCCTAAAGTTGACCAAACCCTAAAACTCAACAAAAGTCAACCCTTTGGGTTACGCTGCACGTACCAAACATGTACGTTGGGCGTAACCGATACCTTCAGAGAGTCGGGGTGCGCCACCCCCTACGCTGTGCGTACTGGAATTATGCCCAGCGTAATACCTAGTTTCAGTCCTTCAACTCTTGAGGTATTAAACAGTTAAGACCCACGTCCAAATTTTAGATCTGACCATTGCTAAGCCTCTTAAACCATAAAGTCGATGACTTTAAGCCTTTGCATGGCTGAATAAGTCACTAGCACCCAAAATGTAACACCCCCTCTGGCACGTATCACAATATTATCCGCTTTGGGCCACTCGGCACGAGGACTTCACATGGGGTCACCCATCCCGGTACTACTTCCGCCCGAGCACGCTTAACTGCAGAGTTCTTATGGGATCTGCTGCCCTCACGGCTTTAAAACGCGTTGTGATAGGGAAGGTATCCACACCCCTTATAAGGAATGCTTAGTTCTCCTTCCCAGCCGATGTGGGATCAGATCTAACCCACTTTCACCCCCCATTATAGGGTTCGACGTCCCTGTCGAACACATCGACCCGTGCCCTAGCTCTGATACCATTTGTAACACCCCCTCTGGCACGTATCACAATATTGTCCGCTTTGGGCCACTCGGCACGAGGACTTCACATGGGGTCACCCATCCCGGTACTACTCCCGCCCGAGCACGCTTAACTGCAGAGTTCTTATGGGATCTGCTGCCCTCACGGCTTTGAAACGCGTTGTGATAGGGAAGGTATCCACACCCCTTATAAGGAATGCTTAGTTCTCCTTCCCAGCCGATGTGGGATCAGATCTAACCCACTTTCACCCCCATTATAGGGTTCGACGTCCCCGTCGAACACATCGACCCGTGCCCTAGCTCTGATACCATTTGTAACACCCCCCTCTGGCACGTATCACAATATTGTCCGCTTTGGGCCACATCGGCTGGGAAGTCCTCGTGCCGAGTGGCCCAAAGCGGACAATATTGTGATACGTGCCAGAGGGGGGTGTTACACAAAACATTTCATTTTCTAACCCTAGAAGGCATAATACTCAAGCATGACCTCCTATCAACGACCAAGATGGGAACTTTATGGATCTAGACCACAAATACTACTAAAAAGGGACAGATCTGGAGCACTTTACACTCATAAAGTCTCCACCTTTGGGGTTTTTAACCCTAGAAATGGCACATGCAACAACAACCAAAAAGAAGAGGGAAATTTTGAACTTTATACCTCTAAATGCAGCTCCTTTCTCTGTAGATCTTAGATCCAAACTTGCACTTCAAGCTTTTAGTCTCCACAAGCTCCTTTCTTCCTTCTTCACTAACACACCAAGGCACTATTAGCTCCAAGAACACACACACTCACTAAGGACGATGGAAGGCTCTCTCTTAGGGTTTTACTCACTGATATGGAGGCTGAGAAATGAGCCTTATCATCCTTTAAATAGTGCACAAGTCTTATTAGGGTTTTGCATCTGGGTCGGGTACGCCCGGCGTAACTATGGGTACGCCCAGCGTACCTTAGCGACTCCGCGTCCAAAATAAGCGCATGAGTATGTGTAGCGTACCCCTTTGGTACGCCCAGCGTACTTACTTGCAAGGCTTCCTCCACTCAAGGACCAATCATGACCAATTGACAAAGTATAAGAGTGGAATAAATGTACCTGAATCTCGGGGTGTTACAATTCTCCCCCACTAGAACTAGACTTCGCCCCCGAAGTCTCATTCCACGAACAAATCTGGATGTTGCCATCGCATCTCCGACTCTGACTCCCAAGTCATTTCAGACCCCTTCCGATGTTGCCACCGAACCAGAACCAGAGGCGCCTCCTTGTTTCTCAGAACCTTGATCTTCCGACCCAAGATTGCGATCGGCTTTCTCAGCATAATTCAGACTCGTGTCCACCTGGATATCCTCTAATGGTACCATTGCTGACTCATCGACTATACACTTCCTCAGCTGTGACACGTGGAAGGTATCATGAATCTGGTCCAACTCTGCAGGTAGCTCAAAGCGATACGCTACCCTGCCCACCCTCACGATCACTCTAAACGGCCTAATATACCGGGGTCCCAGCTTGCCCCTCTTCCTTAATCAGATCACTCCTTTCTAAGGAGATACCTTCAGGAGCACAAAATCATTGTCCTGGAACTCAAGCTCGGATCGTCGCCTATCCGCATAACTCTTCTGGCGACTCTGAGCGGTTAACAACCTCTGTCTGACCTGTTGTATCTGCTCTGTCATCTGAAGCACTATCTCTGTACTACCCTTCACACGTTGCCCTACCTCGCCCCAACAAATGGGGGTCCGATACCTCCTTCCATACAACAGCTCAAAGGGAGGCATACCAATGCTCGAGTGATGGCTGTTGTTATAGGAAAACTCAGCCAAGGGAAAATACATGTCCCAACTCCCTTCAGAATCCAGTATACATGCCCGAAGCATATCCTCGAGCGTCTGAATCGTCCGCTCGCTCTGCCCGTCATTCTGCGGGTGGTATGCGGTACTAAAATGCAGCCTCGTACCCAATTCCTCATGAAATTTCTTCCAAAATTTGAAAGTGAAACGCACATCTCGATCTAAGACAATCGAGAACGGTACTCCATGTCGCGATACCACTTCCTTCAGGTACAACTCTACCAGCCTCTCCGCAAAAAAGCTCTCAATGATGGCAAGGAAATGAGTGCTCTTCGTCAACCTGTCCACAATCACCTAGATTGCATCGACACCCCTAGCAGTGTAACGCCTGTGTTTCTGGGCCTATCATTAATGATGATAAAATAGTCTAGGTTAACCTTTGTAACCCGTTTTGAAATAATAGAAGTGTATTATTTGAGTATTATGTGTTTTGTGCTTAATTGCTTAATTATGTGGTTTGATTAATTAGAATAAAATATGCGTCAAAATTTAAGTGTAAAATAAACTTGATATCTTTGGATAATGTTGTAGTAGTTGAAACGAGGTTTCCGAAGATATAAAGAATGTCGAAATCCGAGTTATAACGAAGAAGTTATGACCTGTCGAAGTTTCGTGACAGAACCGGCAACGCTGAATGACGTAAAAAGTGAAATTTACGTTAGAGCGATATTTAGTGTAGCACCTGGTTTCCGGTATGTGAATTTTATTTGAGCATTGCCCTATTTTAGACTTGGACTCGGCGAGTCATAAGGTCCGACTCGCCGAGTAGGGACGTGACTCAGGACACGTTTTAAGTGGGCGACTCGGCGAGTCCATATCCTGGACTCGGCGAGTCATCGCTGCTGGATGAAACCCTAGGTTCCAAGGGTTTGCACCCTATTTAAACCCTCATTCCGCCCCAACTCGTCCCCATTCACCCCCAGAACTCCCCCAACATCGTTTTCCCTTATTTCCTTGAGAGATTGAGGTGTTCTTGGTGTGTTCTTGAAGGTTTTGAGGAGAAAGAGGAGTAGATCAAGAAGAGGAGAAGGAGATCAGCCATCTTTGTGTCATTTCAACATTTTCCTTGAGGTATATCTCGTTTTCCCCTGTTTCTATGCTTAGGATTTCATTTGGGACACTCTTGAGCAATTCTTCAAGCTTGTTTGTGCTTAATGTTTCGTAA